AGTCGTACCACTACTCACACACTAAAGTGTTAATTAAAATGTAAATAAACACAACACCTTAGAGAAAAATCCTTAATTGAACAAAAAACACAACACATGTCCCTAGTACATTTTACAATAGCCAATAGCAGGATGGCTATTGCTCCACCCCCTGCCTGATGTCAATCAGCAGAGGAGTAGACCTAAGTGAGAAAGTTATCTCTCAGGTCTGCTCCTCTCCTGATTGACAGAAGGCAGTGCAATAGCCAGTCTGCTATTGCAATCTAAAATCTAAAAAATAGTAGAATGGCTGCTGACCACTGTTTTCTATCAGTCCGCAAAGGAACAGACCTGAGAGAGAAAGTTCTCTCGCAGGTCCACTCCTCTGCTGATTGACAGAATGCAGTGGGTGGAGCAATAGCCACCCTGCTATTGGCTATTGCAATTCAAAATAGCCAATAGCAGAATGGCTAAGACCTGAGCGAGAAAGTTCTCTCTCAGGTCCACTGTTCTGTGATTGACATCAGGCAGTGGGCAGGTGCATTAGCCAACCTGCTATTGGCTATTTCAATTTTAAATAGCCAATAGCAGGCTATTCTTTTTTCTGCCCACTGCTCGATGTAAACATTGCATTGGGCAGCCAGCAGCGGGTGTTTTGTTTTTGTTTCGTCGGTGGATTGACATTGTGGGACATTTTTTTTTTTAAATAAATGAATTGGAAAAGCACCTTTCCAATGTCGAGGGCACGTGGCCTGGTATGGTGCAGGGAGGGGGGCGCTCATCAGCCGTGTTCTTGGTACTGCTTTTAACAGCAGACGATTGCTGTTACCTGATGTGATCCCTGCTTTCATATTTTACCAAACAGTTGGGTATTATATTATGTTTCTGTGCACTAAATGTTAATATAGTTTATTTTTTCCGAAAAATACTTGATTGATAAACATTTATGCAAAAACCGTGCGACATAAAAAAGTGCAACTAACATTTTTTTATTCTACAGGGCCTCTGCTTACAGAACATATATCATTGTTTGGGGGTCTGAAGCTGTTTTCTAGCCATAAATGTATACTGTATCATGCATATAGTAAGAAAATGCCCAGGACAGCAAGTGGTTAAAATCTCAGCTCTGAATCAACTCAATTGTGCAATTGATAAGTGGCAGAAAAGTCTTTTTAAAAAGACCTGTGTCAACTCTCCTACAATATGTAGCTGAAAGATGTGGGGAAAACATGTTTTAAGATCTTGACTGCTCAGAAGCATAGGCATAAAACCTTGCTAACTACAGTAGCCTTTCCTCAGTATTGACACAAAACAGATTCCAAGTTGGAAGAGGGCAAGGCCACACCTTTATTGAGGTTGGGCAATAGCAAAGAACATTTACCAGTCACAGGTAGACTGTGAGCACCTAAATAATACATGAACACTAGCCTGGATGCTTATCCTTACCATTAGCCCCAGATACACATTCAACTACCCCGGAACCCCACTTGGTAGCAATACTAATAATCAACAGCACCAATTGAGGCAAGGTAAGAACTGCTAATGTAGCTGTGAAGAACAAAATCTCTGCAGGATGGGAAGGTGGGAATCTCATCCTTTGTCTGTATATTTCAGGTGTGTGCATTTACCCAAGCACCTACTTGAACAGGCTTGCAGGCCCACTCCCATCACACCACAGTCCCAATCAGGTCTGAGTAATTATAAACAAAGTTAATATGCATAAACATGCACACCTAAACACCTATCAAGCGTTCAGCAGTCAAGACTCCCTTTCACTAGGGCTCCATCTGTGCTTCCATGTCCCTCATGTCAAGATTTTAAAGTCAATGTACACCTTTGTAAGTGATTAGCATTTATTGTGGTAATGTAGAGGTGAGTGATGATTTATATGTGTGCACATTTTAATGACTCACATTGCAGGCATTATTCTTTTTTATGAACATTTTATTAGGCCTAGAAATTAAAAATTTTCTCACCAGGAAATTCAGTCTGACACCAGGGCCAGATTGAACAACAGGCTGTAAACAGATGTCCCCCTCCCTGTGATTCTGGGTAACATGATCACTAAACAACAGCTCTGCCAAAGTACACTGTCTGGTGGGGGGTGCAATGTCACTATGAATATTAATAAAAGTGGGTGGAAAGCTTACAGAGAGAGCACAGTTGTCATATACACATAATGCTTGCACAGCACAGTGGCAGCTTTTCCATGAGCATATGAAGAGGAAAGCTAACAAAAAATGTAAGTTTATGTGTTCATATACAGTAACTGCATATGTCTGCTTTTGTACACTAGGTCTACATTGCTGGCACCTCTGCAAAGGTGGAAATTGGCATTAACCAAACATTTTAGTAGTCTGTTTGAAGGAATGATACTTTGTAGTGTGAGGCATGTACACATTAAAGACATTTTTTCTTGCTTTTCAACTATAAGTCACATGAAGTTGCCTTTCAAATACGTCTGCCCAAGGTTTAACATTTCTTATACATGTTTAGTTATGCTATTAACCTACCTATGCAATGACAAAGGAGAAAGAGCTAAACTATTTTCTGATTATTAAAAGTGAAAGAAACAAAATTCTTTACTGCATGTGTTAACACCCATGGTAATCGAGCCATAAAAACTGAGGCCTGCTGAATCATCCATACTAATTTGGAAATATTTGCTGTTGAAAACTAGGCATCTTCAAACGCTTGGCCAGTTTCCTAATGCTCCATATGAAGCTGCATCTAAAACATGACACTGAACATTCAGGGTGAGAACCATTAAACACTCACGCCTGTTAAACAGCCGTCCTTCAGAATTAATCCAATATCCACAGCTATCAATATGTGTCGGAAGGCTGTTGGCGCAGATTGATTATATTTTCTATGCATTAGTATACAACTGAAACCTCAACATACAGAATCAACTGTAACCTTCGCCCAATAAAATAATGATTTTAGGGTGTAATTAATGTATTACTACATTTTGGCTACTGGTGTTATATTGTACATTGACAAACATCTATTGTGAATATAGCAGAGAAATAAAATCCCAGGAAACATATATGAGGACATCTGTACTGATTTTTTGTTTTAATATCAATGCTATATATTCTTATGTTGACGTTTAAGAAAATTCAGTAGGTGGGCAGAGATTTCCCATAAGCAGGATATGGGAATATGGCATGGTCCTCTGCTGAAGTGAATTATATTGTGTGAAATGATTAGATATGCCCACAGTCTACATTAAATTGTCTGCCATTATGAGGTTTTTGTAAGTGGAATGGAACATTAGTTTTACTGTCAAACAATGCATTCTCATTATTGGATACCAGATAGATCAAAGGATTCTCACACAATAGCTCTTTTTATGTATTGTATTGCAGATTGATAGAAAAACTTAACTCCAAAATACATCAGCTTTGGAAGATATTAATTATGTTGGCACAAGAAAGTATAATATTTGCAGTTCTCTAGTTTGTTTTCTGTTTGCTACAGCCATATATTTATATTGCATTTTATCTGTGTGCTTTAATTACTTATTCACCCTGCGAACAGAGGATAGAACTACAAGTAATTCTAACATCAATTTTGTGTCACTTTAATATTGTGCATCTAACATTTGATTTAGCTCTTCAAATTATTATTATTAATATTATAGAGGATTTATATAGAGCCAACAGTTTGTGCAGTGCTTTACAATATAAGGAAGACATAACAGTTTCAATACAAGTCAAGACAAGATGGTAAGATGGTAAGGAGGGTCCTGGCCGTGAGAGCTTACAATTTAAAAGGGCAAGTGAAACAAAAGGTGGTAGCAGTGTGCGGATGAAATGTTTCAGAAAGTGACAGTTCAGTGATTAGGTTGAGGTGGGATAGGCTTCCCTGAAAAGATGAGCCTTTATGGATCGCCTAAAGGCAGTCCGAGTAGGAGACAAATGGACAGGTTGTGGTACTGAGTTCCAAAGGATGGGAGAGACTCCACCCTGGAGGTGAGTATCGGAAGAGTTAACAAGGGACCTGAGACAAGGTTGGAGATATAGCCAGGAACACAGTTGTAGATGGCTTTGTAAATGGTAACATATTGATGTTTTGTAAAGAAGGATAATCCTCTAGACTTTGCCTCCTAAGCCTTGACTTCAATAGAGTCTATGTTAAGCTTCAGCATTGGAAAAGTGGTGTTACGTCCTCATAAAGGAGATAATGGTCTGGCAGCTAGACCAGGTTTATATCAGGACCTCTTGTGGCTTTTAAAATATTTAATGATTTCCCTGCAATAATTAGCTATTATTTTATAAAACAATCTTGTAGTGGGGCATTACAGGGTCAGGCACTCTCCAGACAATTGAGGATGAATACAAGAAGAAGCAAAAAATACTAAAAATGACATCTGTCAGGGTATATGGATATAAAATAGGATACATATTTTGTGAGACGACAAGGGGTATGTAACCTTAGTATAGGCCATACTCTTGGTAATTAGGATTTCCTGAAGACCATTTGGA